ACCTCGCCCTCCGTCTGGAATGCCTCCGCCTCCGCCCCGGTCACCGAGCGCTCCTGGACCACCGACGCGTGGACCACCGAAGACTGGACGCCCTTCGCCAGGACCACGTGGACCACCGACGCCACCACGGACGCCACCACCACCGACATCGCGTCCACCGACGCCGTCGCCACCACCCTCACTGACGCGGAGGCGGACACGCACACCTACGCGCTGGACGGCGAGGACAAGCAGAGCAAAGAAGGCGAGGAGGACGATGAAGAGGAGGAGGAGGAAGAAGAAGAGCAAGATGATTTACAAAGCTGGCTGTCCGGACATGAGAGGTAAGAGACTCATTTTAAAATATATTATTTCATTTCATTAAAATACAAGAAATTTGTTCCAGACCTACGTTTTTACATTTTACAAAATAAACTTATTGTACATTTTTTTAAATAAATCGAAAATATGTGAGCAAGTGCATAATTTGTAATCAGGCAAGATTTTAACTCCAAGCATAAATTCATAGAATTTAAAAGTTGGTAGATATATTCGTACGTTGTATAAACGTAATGAATGTTGAGAATGTTGTGTAAAAAATATTTAAGAAGTAAATTTAAATGTGAAAAACAAGAATATAACTGTTTTGAAAATGCTATTGAAAGTATATTATTTTTAGGACCTCATCATATTGATAGATCTTATCTATAGGATATTTCAAAATACGAATCTATCGACATGCAATAGCCTGTAGATATTACACCATCGAATATCAAAATATATAAATAATTTCAAACATTATTCATTAATGTCTATCAAATTAGGGATTCTTGTATCGAATTTAATTATTATAGTGAAAATTATAAAAAAATTAGCAAATCATGTCAATATATTAATACTTAAACATTACATACTTACATTACTACAATACCACATTATTGTATTCTTGTCCCATTTTTACGAAGTCGTTTTAAAATGATTTTCATGCTTACCACATCACAGTTCATTTAATAAGTTTAATGTATCATTATTTAACTCTTCAATTAATGTTAATTGATAATATTCTTGAAACAAAAGAATTTCATCGCTACCAACATCATTTGCAAAATTATATTCATAGTTTGCAAACTTTTATATCGCTAGTAGCTAATACCATATGTACACACGATGCGAAAGATAATAGGTTCTAAAATAAACCACAGCGCGTAAAATGAGAATATTTTGGGTACAAATGGATAAAAATGGGTAAATATATATAAATTTGAGTATTTGATTTTAATAAAAAAAGGAAAAAAATTAAAATTCTAAAAATTGTTGGTCTGATAAATGTGGTTCAGGAACCCTGTTTAAATACTACTTATGTTGCTGCTTCGTGTCTGGCAGACAGCGTAGATGTCTAGGACCCGGATCTAAGCGACGCGGAGTTGGCGGGAGCGGATCCTCTCATCAAATTGACTATTTGTTGCGATATTAAACAAGACCCGCATTCCAGCAATAAGCCAGCCCACCACGCCAGTAGAAATAGTTGCCAAAGATTACATTAATTACATAGCCCTAACGGGATGACGGTTGAGAAGACACATTTAATTACAATTGTGCATACTGTTGTGAAGTTCACACACGTGTGTTTGCCGTAACGGTTTCTAGGGTGCGTGTGACTACAACGGACGTAGCAGAAAATCATAATTTTGTTCATGTATGAGGTTCGCGGGATTGTTGATATATATGACGGTGAAGTGATGACAAAAAAAGGCATCGTACAATGTATAAATTAATTTTTGTTTACAATGAATTTTCTTATTTTGATGTAATTTAAAAAAATGTTTTTTCAAGTTGAGAGTTAACTGATGGAATAAACGGTATTTGTGTATGTATTTCCTGTTTTATGTTCCGGTTTATGAACATTCCAGTTCAATAAAGAATAAAGGATAAAGGATGTCGCCACGTTCACAACGGCAAAAATTTTCACATGAACAAAGTTATGATATTTATTATAAAATAACGAGTGAATTATTTGCTATACATTCATCAAATCCCACACGCATTCAACTATAGGAAAAATTAAAGTAATTTTATTTAACAAATGCAATTTTCGCTTGTAAGTCGTATTGGATCAAATTATTTCATATTTGAGTAACTCATAACAATATTTCTGTAAATTGTTTCATTTTTCGTCTTCCAAAATATTTTATTTATAAAATAATATTCTTCTAAACAAAAATCAAATCCAAAAAGAGGAGGGAAAAAGTGTAATAAGTGGCTACAATTTTTAATAAAAATTTGTCAATTTGTTAATGCCTTCCACAAAAATTAATGGACCTGACCTTGCATGAATTAAAATTAACTGAATAAAACTTATTAGAGAGAAGCGTGCTATATTTGATTATTGGTGATATATTTAACTTTTAACGAAGTTAGACGTTTCAAATTATCCACGAGGCATGTATTGCTAGCTTGATAAATCTATTTTGTACGTGTTGGAGTTTATTCATGTTAATTATTAATGCGTTGGTCCATATGGAGCATGCCTACAGCATTCAGGGTCTGATAATGGGAATGTAAAGTGTAACACCATTAGTTGAAGATAGCTTTTGGAGCTGATAAGGAACCAATTTGGTTTTATTGCTTGTTGTGTAATTATTTAAGTAATATATTTAATCCTTCAGATTTGGGGAGTTAATGGAATTGTGTATTTATTTATATGCCAAGGAGTGTGAGAGGCAAAGGGTGTTGGAGAGCAAGCGGCAGCGTTGACGCCCCTTCTCCAACCGAGTGCGCGTGCGCAGGTACGAGCGCTGCCTGCGCCAGCTGCAGCAGGACCTGGGGCTGAGCGACACCGAGGCGGCGGGGGCGGGGCCGGCGGCCGCGTGGGCGAGCCAGCGGCTGCCGGCGCCGGCCGAGGACGCCCGCGCGCGCCGCCGCCTGGTGCGCTGCGTCGCCGACCAGCTGGTGGCCGCCGTGCGCGACGTGGTGCACCGCTTCCGCCAACGCCCTCCCTTCGCGCCCTACCAGCCCATCGAGCGCGCGCACGCGCACCAAGGTACGATTTTTCACGTAGGCCACACGATTTTTGACGTAGGTCACACGATTTTGACGTAGGTTACACGATTTTTGACGTAGATCGCACGATTTTTGACGTATGCCACACGATTTTTGACGTAGGCCACACGATTTTTGGCGTAGGCCACACGATTTATGACGTAGGCCGCACGATTTATGACGTAGGCCACACGATTTTTTAAACTAAGAAGATGGCTAGGACGAGTTCAGCCGTCACGTTGTTTAGAGGAGAATTCCAGCAGCCGGCTGCTCTCATCGCAGTTTTCTGTTGTGGCTCCGATCAACACCAGGCGAATGCCCGAGCAGTACCCTGGATTAATACCAGCGTTACGGATCGCACACGATCTTTCCTTCTTCTCTCTTGTTCTATTCTCACCCCTTACTGACACACGCTTACACTTACACGGAACACGAAAATAGCTAGTTTTCCATTGTTGCTTAACTCACTTTCTTATTTATATATTTACATCAAAAACAGTTAATAACTGTGTGACGTGCTATGGGGAGAATTTAAATTGAAGTTACATTAATGTCCAGAAGCAAAACAAGACTTGATACTTCTATTCATCATTCAAATATGTATACTAAAAAGGGAGGAAGAGATACTGGAGCTCAGGAAGGTACTCAGATTATACTTCTCCCTCACACGTCAAATACTGTTTTTACGTGTTTGTTTGTTTGTTTTCTAACAAAAAATATCAATTAATCACCACCTAGGGTGAACCGTGATTGAATTGTCAGAGCCGTCTATCACTGGGACGGGCATTCAAATCTCGGTCGAGGCATGCAGAATTTACGGTGGGCAAAGCGGGCACGCTGCAGGTTTCCTTCAAATTCTTCCATTACCCCTGCATCTCATCCACCACAGGGAAGTACCCTGTATCCCAACTTCTCGCACAGCTGAGACGACTGGTGGTATAAATGTCAGGTCACTCGCCATTCATCGCTGGGATCGGGACTAAAATCCTGGACGATATATGTGAAATTTATGGTGCACTAAAATGTTCCGGATAGGATTTCGCGAGAATCGACAGTTTTTCCTGTCCCTCAATCCACTATTGTTGCCTTCCGCACTCAGAACAAGGTATGTGCCTTCTAGCACCTCCCACTGCCAGGGTGACCCGTGGTGTAGAGGTCAGACTGAACAATTTTCCTTTGCTTGGAACGGGGCTCAAATCCCGAACCGTCCAACTAGCATTTGTGGTGCACAAATATCTTCCAAAATCCATCAAAGCAATTCATCTCTTGTCATCCCAAAATCAGCCATACTCTGGTAGATATGTGCTTCTACTATCATTCAATAATTCTCACATTGGACTTCTGCAGCTTCTTTTATAACGAGTTTTTGCTTAGGTTAAAGTAGAGGTTTAGCAAGGTGTCTCCAGCGATGTATAGTGATGGACTACCCGAGACGAAGAAAATTGAGACCAATATAATGATTTGTGATCGTTGTTCTGTATATTGCCCTTTTGAGACGATCCGTGGAGAGATGCTACTGTTATGCAGAATGCAGATGCTACGGTTACTTTCAAATACTAGACTCTCTTTCTGTCCGCCCCTACTGCTCGCCCATCGTAGCGCGCTCGAGGAACACAGTTACTCGCGCTATCAAGGTCTCGCCGATTAGTGTTAGAAGAGGCTTTTTATCTTCGGAAAATTTCCAGGCTGAAATAGTTAGGTCTCAGGGGAAATCCAAGAACGACAAAACTAGTTCGATTTTGAATGAAAAATTATAATACTTGGCTGTGATATTCCACCAATTCTCATAGTGTACGCACCGAGTGAATTATATTTAGTGAGCCACTGTTTATGACTCAGCATATGGGAGCAAGATTCAACAGAAGAGGCGGCCCACCATTCAATATTTCCTAATTACAGGTCGCGTTGTGGAAAAGTAAACGTTTTATATTCTAGAAATATAAAGAAATGTAATGTACAGAGGTGTGCAAATTATTAGACTAAAGATGTAGAGTTTGAATTTATGAATATACTTTCACACTCTATGATCTCTGATCTTTCTATGAACATTACTTTTTTATTTATGAGCATTCTGCCTCTCTCTGGCATCTTTCTTATCAGTGCCATTCACTGCATTTTAATGTCTGCATCGGTTTGCCACATTTCCTTCAAATATATCACCAGACATTCACGCGTTACCTTACGTTTTTAGCTTCTTTTTAATTATTGCCCAAATATTTTCAATTGGGTTTTTATCAGGATAGTTAGCTGGCCATTCCAGCTATTGTTTAATTGTTCAATGGAGGTAACTAATACACTGCCCAACTAAGGCGATAACAAATGAAATAACAGTTGGACAAACATCATGAACATGAACACAAACAATTATCTACATCAAACACAAGCAAAAAAGTAAGCGACGTCATTATGTATAGTTTTGAAAACAATAGGAGTGCTGTCAGTTTTATTATAATTCCTACGACGAGTTTAACGAATTTACCGAATAAAATCTTCAGTCATAAAATTGCATGCCTCTGTACATCACAGTACGTTATCGCTGCACTTGTGAAGACTGTGTGTCAGAGAAATGAATTTGTTGTAGTATTATACCATAGTATTTTATCATTCGTTCTTGAGCAGTGCGCGTGCTGCGTTTCGGGAAACAATTTCGTGTGGTTTTGTTCAGCGGCATTGCTGCTGCCACTGCACGAGCGCTCCGCGTTGGGTGACAGCACTTCTTCCCCCGCGCCTTTTGATCTACATCTCGCGACCCGCTCCACATCCAGCTGCCGCGTCGCCCCGCCTCCACCCGCCTGCATGCGCCTTCACGTGCCTCCACGCGCCTCCTCTTGCCCAATCCTTCCTTTTACACCTCCTTTCTCTCTCTCTTCTCCTGGCCCTCTTCCTCAGTTCCACACTGCTGGGTGGGCAGGCCGCGCAGCGTTCCGGCAGCTGCGCGAAAGAAAGGCCCAGCTCACACCCCAAGAATTCGGACCGAACGGGGCGAGGCTTTGTCCGACTTACGCAATACGCCACATATTGAAGGAAGCAAGATGAACATTTTGGAAAATGGAGAGGCGATGAATGAGAGAGAAGGGAAATCAATATCTTATTTACAGTTATTGTTACAAAATACCCATTTGTTAACGCTACTGCGTTCCTTTGTATACTTTCAATGATATTTTGCTGACTTGAAGTTGCGAACAATATCGGCAATGCAGTCAGTTCGTCTATGAAAACCAACTAATTTGCAACATACGATACGATTTATTTGAATATTTATTATTATGAATCACTGTGGACAGTTTCAATTGTGTGAATGTTTGCTTTTTCGTTTTTTTCCTTATTTTCATATTTCAGTATATTTTCAATAGTGTAGTGGTAATAATAATAATAATAATAATAATAATAATAATAATAATAATAATAATAATAATAATATAAAAATACAGTTAGTTCAACGCAAATCAGATCACTATTTTTATAAGCATCATTTGCTTTATTCGAAGCCGTTTTTAAGAAAATATGATCTCGATGTCTTTATTAATTTCTAATTAATTTCAAACAAACATTTCGAAAAAAGTACTATCTTACAGAAAACATCTGTACATACAATGCGCACCCATGAGGTTCTACGAAATACCGAGAAGAGTGGACGCAGAACAGCTTGGGTGACCACTTTGGAAACTAAATCAAGTGATTAGTGGTTGGGAGAAAGTAGGCAGAACAGAAAGGAGATGAGGTGGCTACGGAGACGGATGAAACGAAAATTAGTGACGGTCTTGACCTACTAAAGGAAATCTCTCAAAGACCTTTGAAGGTCAGTGACCGAGTCTCTGCGGAGAGAGTAGTGTTACCCTACGCGTATCTTAATTTATTACATATTTTCATACTGTCAGAAGGTGCAGAATATCTGTCCTGAAGCTGATATATTTCTTTGGTCCTATCTTCCATATACGGAAGTTAGGTGACCCATAACGGGTTTTCTTGGGATAAATTATTCAGGGTGGTTTCCCGTTGCCTTCCCTGATATGATGATGATAGGGGGTGAAAGGACGAACACAATACAACCATGCCCGAGGCGGGACTCGAACCCGCGATCTTTCGGTACGAGATCGCTACAGCACTACTGCCTTAGCGATCTCGGCCACCGGATCGGCGAAGCTGGTATATACCTATGTAAAATTCATAGAAATGGTTTCTTTATGAATTCATCCCTTCTCTCTAAACAACTAGCATATGAAAATTTCATGAAATTGTTAGTGGTGTTAATTGACATCGTATCCTGCGTTGAACGAAATTATAGTGTCTTGCACTTTTTTGAGACTGAGTACTGAGAGTACACCTATGCAGATTTGCATTTTGTTCGAGAAGAGATTTCCGAGCGGGCAGTCGGGGATGTCTCCAAAAGAGACAAAGCGAGAGTGACGATGAGAGGGAACGTGTGAAAGAGACACACTATCATTCTTTGAAGAGAATAAAAAAGACACTGAGAAACGTGGAAGACAAAACGTCTATTTGTGAACCGTATTGAATGACAAAAATAATGTTTATTTTAACAAATCAGCGGTACATAATTAGTTTACATTTGTATTGTATAATTTTTTAAATAGGCGTAACATGCTTGTAACAAATAATGTACATCAGCTTCCGGGTCAATGATCCTCATCTCGATCTGGTTTTTGTCCAGCTTCCCTGATTTATTGAGAAAATGCTGAGATGGAACCTTGGTTTGCTTCTAGACGTAAATGTAGCTTCACTATGCGTACGTCTTGTAGAATTATCCGTTTGCTTCAAGTGGTAGGAGTAAAGGTAAGAGCGAGTTACTATTTTGTTACGAATACAGAAAAATCAAGTCTGCCGTTTGTTCGCAAATTCTATAACTCGGGAACGAAAATGTTTCATTTTTCAAATGTTGCCAATGCTTTTTTTAAGATTATTTTTTATTTTTGTTATTTTTAACTCTTACTCATCTTTCAACTATTTATAGTTAAAATGATAGGAAGACATTCTGAAACTCAAGAAAACGTGCGCAGGTGATCTTCTCCCCATACATCACATACAGTTTTTACAATTTTTTTACTAAATAAATCAAATCAAAGAAACGTCCTTCTGCGCGTGCACTGAAATTGTTATTGTGAGTCGTGCCCCTTTCATACAGTTTTTGAAATCTCTCCCATTGACGTTCAACGTGATGGTGCCACCAGTGTGGGGACAGGTGACAGTTAATACTACTCGAGTACGATTGGGTCACATTGTCGCACATGCGCCTATTCGCTTGCCCAAAATACAGATGTCTAACAATAAATATTTCAAAGGCCCGTAGTAGTATTCCATAGTAGTCGAAAATAATAACCTTTTACCAATTAACTTATAGTGGAAATTGCATGTAAAGAATGGTAACAAATAAGATGAGATAAATTTATTCAAACTGCAATTGGGTATAACCCGGTAGCAGCTAAGTACGTAAATAAGGCCATATAGCTAACAAACATTACATAATAGTCTTAAAATAATCATAAAATAAAAACCGACTGATTTATAAAACTAAGTTACATAAAAAAAGAAACTCTCTATAATCTAACTCCGCACTAAATATTTGTTCAATTTAATTTGTAACATTTTTACAGTTCAGGTCCCTCTACACGATACTGCAGTGCAACACTTCCCTACGACCCTTACATCATTTCCTTCGTAATTTCTCTGCTCTTCACTGCACGACATCTCCCTTCACAATATAACACATATGCATTGCTATATAACCTAATATTTCTAGATAAGTCCTTTATTTACTTAATAAGACTGAAAATTAATTTCCAAAACTGTTGAATGCTTCGAGGAAAGGGTTCATTGGTCTTTGCAGGCAATCTATTCCATTCCATTTTCACGACACACGTTCTCTGTGGACTTAAATTTATTTTGCCTGTGATCCCATCTACTAATGTGCACATATGATATACACATATATTCAGCAGGAACATGAAATCATCTCGGCTGCGTCAAAACATTACCTACTGTACCACTGTGCTTAAGGAGATGTCTAAAAATAAGGGAAATATATTTAGATATGCATATCTCCAATATAAGCAACTTGTCTCAATATGTTCATTGACAGAAAGAGGTCATATTCGACCCATCTACAAGTCCTTGAATATTGTAACATTATTCTCAGATCTTCTGTATAATTCTGTATTCTTGAGTATACTACAGATGCCTGAAGTGCCAGGGAGCTGATGATATGAACCGGCTGAGATAGCTTAGAGCCAACATTGCCGCTGTCACTGCAGCGACTCTGACAGGAAAGTTCTAGCCAGGAAAATATTAGGTTCGAGTCCCGACAGTGGCGGATTTCTGACAGTAACTATATAGCTACGTCAAGTGCAGACTTTGTCTGGGGGAGAATTCTGGCGGAAGGTTTTTCTGATCCGTAATTTTCCATGGTTTCACCGATCAACACAAATCGAATCGTAGAGCAGTACCCTAACGAACGTGCCATGTACCACCCGCGGTCTATCCATTCTCTTCCTTACACACACACACACACACACACACACTTTCAAGCCCTACACCATCCATCACTCTTATCGGGACCCCAGCAGGGAGATTAGAGCTTGTTCTGCATGAGGTGGTGTCTCGCTGGGAAAGATACCTGGAGAGGGAAACCTCGCAAGACGCCGCGAACGCCGGAACCGAATTTACCATCTACCGTGGAAGATCACCGCCTCCTCCCAGGATAAAAAATATTCATTACATTACACTAATGATCATGGCAATTGACGTGTTCGAAAATATCAATCAAGTGAAGACCAACAATAGATAGAGACTTTATTCTACAATGGGATACAGTTATCCGATGGCCGAATATAAGAACATGCCGCTATATACAATTACAAATAAAATCATTCCCAACGTTCATTAATGACATCTGTATGCATTTCTGTGTTCAAAATGCGCTGTCACGAACTAAACTGGCGGCGTTTTCTCGAGGGGGAAACCGAGCAAGCAGGCATCGAAGCCGGTGCCGGTTCTTATGTTGCAGCGGAGAGGATTTTAGATAAACATTTATTTAGTAAAAAAACAGTAAAAAACTGTACGTGACGTATGGGGCGAAGATCATCTCGAAAGATCTAACATGAATTGCATTTACGGGACTAATAATAATAATATCAGATGACGCGCCAGAATATGATTAGGCAACAATGCGCGATTTGCTAATTTACTTATTCTTTTTTATTAAAAAAAACTGTCATTCAAAAACAGGCCCCTCGGGTGGCTCGTGCACAGCGGGCTAGCTTTCTGTGAGGCGGTCCCGGATTCGTTTCCCGGACGGAGCAAAAATGAAGCAGCAACTTTCTAATACAAATCGTCTCAGTTTCCCATAGCTGTGTGACAAAAGTAAATGTTTAGGCAGGCCAAGTAAGCTAGGTACACTTACGACACTCACACGCAAACACGTCATTTTCGTGACACGTCTCCCTTACCCCCAGGGGTGGAGAAGAAATGAAAACAGGACCCAGGCCTGGGAATACCGCTTGCTCGCAGAAGTCGGATTAATCCGATCCGAAAGTGCCAATACGAGAATGCATCGAATTTAAACGAGACTTTCCATTCTGCGGGTGTAATTGCGAATGCAGCGGGCGGCGACCGCTTGAGAGACGTGATGGGAATGTGATGACTGAGGAGAGCAAGCACATGTGACATGTCCAGACTTGTTCGGCGGTATCAGTGACGATGTTGGAGCAATCGGTTTACCCTCCTGAGCAAGCATTATCATTAAGTTTCTTACTCGTTAAGGCGTGAAATCAGCGGAAATTTTGCAAGCATTGACTGCACAGTTTGGGGATAAAACACCGTCACAGGCTCGCGTGTTGACTCCCTGGAAGGAATTCAAGAAAAGACGTGAACGTGTTGAAAATGAGGAACATTATCCGCCGTACAGCATTACGGCAAGGAGCTTGCATCTGTGTTTGTGGCGGGCACGCGTTTAGCTCATTGATTTCTTGCGTGTGCATGTGCGTAGGGCAATCAATGCTGCGCATCACTGTGAGCTTTTGATACAAGTGAAGGTCGGTCATCGTTCGAAAAGGTTTGCCTAACGAATTCGAGACGACCTTCTCCTGCACGACAACGCTCGGCCCCATGCTGCAGTTCTGACGCGCGATAAATCGGAGGAAATTCGATGGAATCCACTTGAACACCCTCCTTATAGCCCTGACCTGTCGCACTGCAATTGTCATCTTTTGGGTCGCTGAAAGAAGCAGTGAGACGACAACGAGTGGAGGCCTTCTTGAGCAACTGCCTCGTGACACAACCCTTTTCATTTGACGATTTCGGGATTAATGATCTGTCAATTCGTTGAGCAAAATGTATTTGCAAAGCCGAAAAGTATGTGGAAAAATGTGTATTCCGCTATTAGATTACACTCAATCTTTTTTTAAATAAAGTGTCGTTTATATTTGATTCACTTACGTACATTGAAATAACAAATAACGGTAGTTCGAGCTAGTCTGAATATTGCACTATCCTTTATTTCAGGATAACCTTTTACACTCTGAACATTCAAACAGGGACTGCACATTTAACTTCATTGCTTATAAATGTATCTGTAACTGAAGAGTCTATTTATTTCTAAAAGAATATAAATAAAAAGCATACCGACATATACAAATTGTTTCGAAACCTTTTTGTTGTTGAAGTGTATGTTGTCAATAACGCAAAGACAAATTCATAATTAATATTCGTATGTTTTCCAGGGCGAAGCAAAAAAGACGGTTTGGAATCCCTCGGGGGTGGAGCCGGAGGCGGCGGTGGCGGTGGCGGCGGCGGAGGGGGACTTGGTGGAGGGGGTGGACACAGTAGGAAGAAGAAAAAGAAGAAGCAGAAGGGAATCCTCCACACAAAAGTTCCGGCCATTTTGCTAGTACCATTGTTGATCCAAATGTTAGTGGTACCGCCGACGCTCTTCATGTTAGGATGGTCGGCGATACAGGTGAGCAGGAATATGAGATTGACACTCTGAGATAGACGATGATCGAAGATCAATGCAAATGTGCGAAACAAATTAAAAATATCATTGAAGTAATAAGATAGTGTATTTGATTAATCATTTACAATATCTAAACAGAGTACCAGACAGACGCATAGTTCGTTGACATTGGGGACACACGAAATGAACGGAATGATAAAGAGAACGTTTGAAAATAATATGAAAATAATACAAAAGAAGTGGACATATATATATATATATATATATATATATATATATATATATATATATTTAGTTACGTCAAAAACAGTTAGAAACTGTGTGACGTGCTATGGGGAGATGTTAAATGAAATTACATTTGCATGTTCTGTTTGATCCTTAATCATCTGCTATTTCACTCAGATCACACATGCTTTTGTCATTGTTCTGTATCGTCGAGACGATTCTTTAGAAATTGCAAATCAAATCTGCAATGTAGCTTTGCAACAATTTTTTATGTCAGTGCTATTGAATTCTAACTTGAGCAAAACTATTCAAACTGTGAATAGGAAATCGTCACAGTATAGCTAAAATGGTAAGAGAACGTATCTTATTTAATGTTAAACAAATTTCATTAATGTTTGCCTTTTTTAAATTATTCATAGAATTTCTATTTTACTAATTTTTATCATATTTTTTGCTTCGTCAATCGACAAATGTAAGTAAAATGCAGTCAAAATATCTGATTAACCGAAATCGTAACCAAAGAAACATATGATTACAAAACTGACTATTCTCTACTTGTTGACAACGTTGTAATACACTATATACACTATGTGATCAAAAGTATCCGGACACGAGGCTGAATATAACTTAGGTGTTGTGGTAGGATATCTTTGGCATTTTTAAAATAATTAAAGATGTTGTCATTGCCAACAATGTTTTTTAATTCAAAAGCAGCTTTCGATGGCTTAGCCATCATCATCAGTTGTCTGCTAGATGGAAGCCACAAAACGACTACCCGTCGGTAGTTGTTGATCACCTAGTGTATGTTTACATTAATATGTATAAAACATCTGTTTCAACAAAATTTAACACACAATAAAATTGTGAAAAATGATACGGATACCTGGTTAGAACATAACTTATAAAGTAATAAAAACGATGTTTATGTAAAAAATAACTAAATTATATCATACGTGAAGTACTTTTTCAAAGCTATGAATACAATGGTAAACAAAAATAACTCTCTTTAAACCATACTTTCCAAAATATACCAATAATCCTAATTATCATTAACAGACCCAAACTACGACCTTGTATATTTTCGATAAAATATGCGTTCCTGAAACTTCTCAATAATATTTACAAAACAATAAAATGAAATGATCAGAAAAAAATATTCCACTGATTAAAAATAATTTGAGATTTTGTGAGAGATTTCGGTGCAACTGTACACGAAGAATGTGTGTTTGCGCTCTGCCCAAGCTGTTCCAGAATGGTCAGTTTTCGTATTTTGCTAATATGCATTCTCATTTCAGACTTTGCGTACAATATAGGGGAAATTCTTTGTATTTGGATTATTGTTAATTACGCCACCACCAGTTGTTTAGAGTGTTACGAGGGACTCGCGGCTGGTAGCTGGATTTCGAATCCTGGATATGTCATTTGGATAGGCCGGTAAATGGGGTCATCGGTCGATAACTTGTTACTCGTGATCGGAATAAAGCTAATGGGGAAGAATATAAATGTCTTTATTGATGGCGAGGCTCAGGCCATTTTGCCTGCTCTTCCGCCTGACTACTTTCAAAAAAAAATAATAAAATAGTTAATGAAAAACAGGTCATTCAAAGCGCAGTACGTACGCAATTTGAATGAGAGGGTTTTTCACATTGAAGTCAGGAATATAAGCGAGGGAGGAAGGAGTAGATAGAAAGGGTTGCTTGTGGCCCGTGGCGCGTTGTTTAGAGTGCTGCTAGGGCATCCGACACTAAATGATCTGAGGAAGCCACGGAAACGACATTCGGCTGAGTTATCTCAGAGACGCTATTTGCCGCTGTAAGAATGCGACTATGAATGGAAGATCTTAAAATTCGACGGTGACAGATTTTCGCCTCTAGATAGATAGCTAGGTTGAAAACAACCGCGGTCTGGGGTAAAAATTTTAGCTGCCGGCTGATCTGCTCCGTTGTTTTCCATGGTCTCACCGATCAAAACCAGGACCTGTACCGTAACAAATGGTCCACGGACACACGCGATTACTCCTTTTCTCTTCATTGCCTCATCTCCACCCCTCACACACACACACACACACACACACACAACATATGCCGGAAGACCAGTCGGGAGCTTGGACTTGTCCCGCCTAGCTGGTCCGCTGAGGGAGATACCTGCAGGAGGAATAGTTAGCAAGTCCATTTGAAAGCCTGCGCAGGATCTCACCAACCAGGTGGGAAAGAACACCGCCACATCTCTGCATACATTATTCCTAACAATAAAGGGACTAAGGACTATAGTAGTTGTTATAACAGGAAATATCAATCCATTAAACCGGGATCAGAGCAAACCGGTCAACTGATGTCACCGCAATGCCTCTGAATGGGAGGTCCCAGGTTCGAGTCCCGACTGTAGCAGTCTTTTCGTCTCTAAATTCATAACTAGATCGAATTCAGCCGCTCTCTGGAGAATTCTAGCGGCTCTGGCTCCTTTTATCTGAAGTTTTCCGTGGTTTCTCCGATCAGTATGGAGCAAATGCCAGAGCAGTTCCCTAACAAACGGAATGCGTATCGCGCACTTTCCTTTCCTCTTCCTTCTCCTCTACTTACAACTTACACACTCACATTTACACATACATCCACTACACTACCACAAATGTTGGGACACCGGTCGGGAGCTTAGAGCTTGTTCCTTGTGGGTCGGTGCTCGGCTGGTGGGAGATACCTTGTTGAGAGAAACACCGTTAGATGACGGTAGGTCGGCGCTGGATCTCACCGGGGGAAGAATCTCGCCACCTCTCTGGAAAACATGCACTACACTCACGTCAAGTCTCTGTATATTGACGCAAAGATCCTGGTGTGAACATGATTCGTGAACAAAAGGGATGAAAAAAAAAATCAAAAATAATTGGGAAATTACGTGGCATTTATTGCGTTTCATTTACGTCTTCTTTGCCTGCACGCAAGAGTCGAATAATTGCTTGCAGGATGTGCGTCTGGTGTCCAAGTGCCGTTGATGTGGCCTCTTGAATTTCATATAGTCTCTCCACTAATTCGGAACAGACAAGTTTCATCTGAGGGAACAGAGTGTTTATTGTACCTTAACTTGTTCTCTATTTCAAAGAACTGGTTACAAAAACGCAAAACCGGGACACGTATTCCAATCTTCAATGATACGAGTACACTGTAAAATGGAATCTCTCTTTTCAGGATTTCATGTGGTCATTATTGTTATCAATTCCAATACTAAAACGTGTGGCTGTATTGAAGAGTACATTTTGGGACACCATTTATTATGATTGCCAGTGCTTGAATATGAGGGCTAGATCAATCAAATGAGTTTGATAGTGACGAGATGAATGATAATGAATAAATAGTTATTTGAGAGGCAGGGAAAAATGTGAAATCCTGCAAATCCTACCTCAACACGGCTTTTATCACACATTTTATAATTTCATTCCACATCTTATTCTGAAATTGCCCGTACGAACGCATATCTGTGGCCATAACTACTGTGGATTAATGAGTTCACGGATGGGCGATAACGATATTAAATTATAAATGATGGATAAATGGTGAAATGTAAAGCAGGGGCATTGGGAGAATCCAGAGAAAACTGCCGCGAAACCGCTCCACAAAAAATTAAATATTTTTTTTACCTCCCGGACAAGGTGGTAGGATTTGAACCTCAGTTCTCAGAGCTGGAAGGAGAGGGCACTGTCTGCTGCGTTAGAAATTATGGCGGTCACTCTTCTTTGAAGAAAACGTTATTAATATTCAAAATAAGTTCCAATACATTTAAAACAGGAAATAACCAGAGATATTGATAGTGAACTTTTCTCATAAAGTGTTTACAATTTAAATGATTTCTGTGTTTGGTTGAAAAGTAGCCCGTCGATTCTTTCTTGAGCGTACATCCAGAGCTGTAATAAATTTGCAGAATAACAGATTAGTGCTCTCAACGTATTAGTAGAGTAAAATGAAATTACGTGTAATATTGATCAGTTTTTAGTAGAATTACGAGGGAAATGCAATGGCAAAAGGTGTAGTTACAAACTTCTCTAGTAGGTGGAAGAATGAAATAAATGGGTTGCATTTCCGGAGATTGCTGTTTGAAAGTTGATTTTGTGGATTCCTTTTGAACAGTTCACATATTCAGATCTCTCATATGCGGAATTTGAAACAAAAACGTCGGTACAGTTTCCTTGGGAACTGAAGTTTCCTAATGTAGATGTAAGATTAAGAGGTATATTTTGGAATGAGATATTGAGTTGACCATTATCTTGACTTGCCAAAAAAAAAAAACGATAAGGCAAGGTTCAAATGTCTGAGAATTTTTCTTAATTACATTTCTGTTAATTCTCTCCTTTCGACAGTCTATTCTTCTAGAAATGTGTTCTCATCTTTATATACTCTGACCTTTGAAATGTTCGGTTGTGTGTATTAGTTTACTACAGACAATCTAACTTAACACAACATAACATGTCATAACCATACATGTCTTACCATAACAAAACATAACATTCTTACATTGCACCTCTTCTCTTCTAACTCATTGCTATATTTGGGACCTACAAAAGTATACAAAAAGTTATTAAATTGTAACGAAACGTGTCCGAAAATTCATCACCCGTCCGGAATAATTATTTTGACGGCTAACCTTACCAATATCTTTAAACGAACTTAAAATTAAACAAAACCGTTCAAATTTATCAATAATACATACATATATGTTGGCCTCCCATGGTTCTATTCCCGGAGATGGCAACATTAACTATCGCTTTCCACTGTCATTTCCCAGTTCATACCACTGGTTGGTAAGGTGAAAGAATCTCGTAGGTAGAGAATGCCAATAAATTGCGTTAGGCGCTAGGACCAACATACCACACTACCGATCCCATGGCCATAGACTCATGAGTTTGAATTGCCAATGTGTCCACACACACACACGCACCCACCCACACGCACCCACCCACACGCACCCACGCACACGCACCCACGCACACGCACCCACGCCCAGCACCGCACACACGCGCACACCGCACACCGCGCACGACGCGCACCACGCGCCACCTCGCACACAGCGCACACCCGCACACCGCCACACGCGACACGCGCACACGCACACCACGCGCACACGCGCACACGCGCACACGCGCACACGCGCACAGGCACACGACACCACACCGCCAGCAAGCGCACCGACAGCACACGCACACACGCACACACGCACACACACAGCACGCACCACACGCAACGCACGACGCACGCACGCCGCACGCAACGCACGCACAGGCACGCACCACGCACACACGCCACACGCACACAACACACACGACCAGCACACACGCACACACCACACACGCACACACGACCACGCACACACGCAACCACCACACACGCAACCGCACACACGCAACACGCACACACGAACACGCACACGCTGACGACACGCACGCCGCAGCGCGCATGCAGCACGCATCGCAGCAACGCACGCACGCACCGCACGCACGCACCACGCACGCACACGCACGCCACGCAGCACACCCACACACGCACACACGCACCACACGCACACACACACAGACACGCACACACCCACACGCAACACGCACACACGCAACTCCAACACACACCAGCAACGCAGCCATCAACACGCACACACGCACGCACCACGCACACACTGGCACACACGCAACACGCACACCACCACACACGCACACACGCACACACCACACACGCACACACGCACACAGCACACCACGCACACACGCACACACGCACACACCGCACAACCACACACGCACACACGCACACACGCACCACGCACACACGCACACACGCGCACACCACACACACACACGCACACACGACACACGCACACACGCACACACGCACACACGCACACACGCACACACGCAACACGCACACACCACACACGCACACCACGCACACACGCACACACGCACACACGCACACACGCACCACACGCACACACGCACACACCACACACGCACACACGCACACACGCACACACGCACACACGCATCACACGGCACACACGCACACACGCACACACGCACACACGCACACACGCACACACCACCACAGCACACACCACACACACACACGCACACACGCCACACACGCACACCACGCACACACGCACACCACGCACCACGCACACACGACACACGCACACACGCACACACGCACACACGCACACACGCACACACGCCACACACGCACACACGCACACACGCACACACGACACACGCACACACGCGCACACACGCACACACCACACACACGCACACACACACGCACACACGCACACACGCACACGCACACACGCCACACGCACACACGCACACACGCACACACGAACACACATCGCACCACGACCACGCACGCACCAGCACGCACCAACGCCACGCACTCGCACCGCACGCACGCACGCAACGCACACACACACACACACACACACACACACACACCACATATATAATTATATACTATATATATATATATATAAGGTGCTTGATTTATAAAAATGTAGGTCCCGGAACGCGCCCCACATTTCTTATTAATTTAATAGAAATAGTTGTATATTTACAGTATAACTTAATTATTATAAATCGCATTTAATAACAATTAGTAACAGTGGTAGCACTGGCTCTATATGAATGAAATGATAATAATATGAAATTAAAGATTACGACATTATAAGGATATTTCATCGTTTTTTACCAATAATTTTATTGTGTTCGTAGAAACGGCACAGTGACGTGGAACAGTATATAATTCTCTGTTCACGAAGGATGGGCGAAATAAATATCTAAGTTCCCAAGTGGTTGTCGTCTGCTTATTTCTTCTTTCCTATTTTGTTCTCGAGGTACCGGAACGCCGTTCTGTCACTTTCCGCCAGTAATCAAGCCCTAAACTATATCATACATATGTGGCAGCCAAAAGCCAAAAGGCGTGAGCCAAAAGGCAAAGGCGTTTGCTTCGTGGAGTACAAAGTTCGATCCTAAAGTAACAAACTATATAATACATATGTACACGTAAGCTTCCGCGGCTCGAATCCATAAATTCTCGGCTATCCGGGAGACGCCGCGTCGTTGGCTGGGAGGCCGACGTTTCGCCTGACATGTCGCAGGCTTCCTCAGGGCACTGAGGTCAGGTCGCTGCCCTGAGGAAGCCCCCGACATGTCAGAAGAAACGTCGGCCTCCCAGCCAACGACGCGGCGTCTCCCAGATAGCCGAGAATTTATATCATACATAGTTTATTACATGTAATGTAATACACACGGCCGAAAGTGCCGGGCATCGAGAAATTCCGGCAATGGGAGGCAGTCCCAATTTCCCATGTGGATTTCGCGTCGGAGAAGTTGGCAGCGGCGTGTGCGGCGTGCGCAGGCGCTGCTGTCGGGGAAGCTGGCGCTGCTGCTGACCATCGCGCGCTGGCTGCTCCTGCGCGCCTCGCGCTCCGACCACGACGTCTACAACGAGGGGCTGGCGTCCGAGCACTACGGCTACGGCGGCGGCGGGCCCGACTCCCTCGGCTCCGAGTTCGGCTCCTGGGTCAACGGCTGGTAGCCCCCGGCGCCCCGCACCAGGTACGACTTGCGCGCCACTCCAGACCTTTGAATCCCACCTCAAATCCCGCGCGCGGCGAAGGTGTAACGGTTAGAGTACTGTTGTGCCCAAGTTCAAACACGATCGAAGCCGTGGATTTTTAAGGACAAAAAAAATCCTTTGTACGCCTTCCTTCGGAGGGGAAGTAAAACCGGCTGTCCCATGTTAGTACATTTACTTGCATGTAAAAGATCCTCAAGCCTAAATGACGCCTCTGAGCTAAATTCAAATCGCCTGTTTCTCGCCCAAGAAATACCTCCTTTCTCTGCTAGTTGGTGAAAGGAGGGTAGCGAAATTTGCGTGGTCAGACGGAAGAGCGGGCCTGATGGCCTGAGTCTCGCCACGTAAAATAAGGCTTCAATTAAATCCAATTCAATTCAAATTCCATCACATTCCACGTAATGCCGTTGCGTTTCGCCGCCATCCGTTGTGTTCCAGACGACTCTTTCCCATTCCGCACTATTCTATTGCGTTACTCTCAATTCCATTCCATTCCATTACGCTGAATTCCATCGCATTCCACTCAGTTCCATAGCGTTTCGCCCCCATCCATTGGGTTCCTGACGACTCCTTCGCATTTTACACAACTGTATTGCATTACTCACAGTTCCATTGCATTACCTCATTTCCATTGTGTTTCACTCAGTTCCGCTGCACTCCAATCAATTCCATATCATTCCATGCCTTTCCATTATATGCCACTTTTCTCATTGCGTTTCACTAAATTCCATTTGTTTTTTATTCAATGCAATTCCATTTGTTTTTATTCCATTCAATTCCATTTGTTTTTATTCCATTCAATTCCATTTGTTTTTATTCAATTCAGTTCCATTTGTTTTTACTCAATTCAATTCCATTTGTTTTTATTCAATTCAATTCCATTTGTTTTTTATTCAATTCAATTCCATTTGTTTTTTATTCAATTCAATTCCATTTGTATTTTATTCAAATGCACTTAACTTCATAGCATTATTATTACTGTCTAATTCATTACATTGTATTCCATTCCAATATTCAGCATTCAATTCCGTTGACTTCGGTTCCAGACCGTCAAATTGTACTTCATCTCGCTCATTGTATTTCTATTGAACTTCTTTGAAATTGCTCCACAAAACTTGAAAACTCAAAGGCAACATAAGTAATCAATAATCTTTCACTAGTTTGGAGTGGCAGAATCGGCCAGATGAAACATTGCAATGACAACCTGATCTTGGATTGCCAGCATAAAGCCTTTACTCTCAAGGTACAAATATCCTACTCTGCTGCGCCATTTGTACATTTCCCCGTCGACATTTGCATTGACAACTACTGTACGATATGCACCGTGGAGGGCTTTCTGTTTCCAGGACTTCATTTCTTGTTGAAAAGATGACTGTTGGATTGTCATTTTTTTTTTTTTTTGCTTTACATTTAGGGGAGTATAGTGTTCATCTGCCTCTACTTCCACTTTGTGGAGCTGAGAAGTACTCGCTTTCCTTGCAAAATACTTTATCATGGTTGCTATCTGCTTAGCGTGGTGGTTTGTCAACTTCACGATACCACACACTCCCATTAGTTGCAGCAGTGTCATACTCTGAAATAGCGCTTCTTGGGTGGTGGCAAGCAACACGTGTCCACAACACACACCATCGAAAATGTAACAATGGGAAGAGAATTATTGTTGATGGCAAACCGCGAGGTTTCGAGAATTGAGGGAAGTTCTTAAAACAGCCTTGAGTCGATTCGTGAACTCAGTTTTTAACGATCCCTTCAGCTTATGTACTATCATACATATCATCAGCTGTATATCAAAATATTTGTATCATTCATTGACTTTCAGAGTGGATATTATCTCTCCGCTTACAGTCTCGTGTCTATCTTCATTGGCGAGTTTACCCTTCTGTATTTCTTGAATTTTGCACTTATCAATCCCCAATCAAGATCAATGTCTCTGGAAAATTCTTCAATGGTTTTTATTTCCATGTCTAGGACGTACATCGCACCTGAGTAGAGTTTAATGTCAACCTTCAGGCTAAGTGCGTTATAAGGGTCTTCGCAGCGCCTCTCCTTCTCAGTGCGAATCCTGTAAGTCTTCAAGGAGTGTTGAGAGTGTGTTCATAGCCAGACAAAACCAGTACGGGCTCAGAATGTCACCTTGAAAAATTCCACGCCTTATGATTATTTTATTGGGGATCACTGTTTTCTTTTTGGCCGCGACACGGATAGTGGTCTTCAATTTGCTCATGGATGGATTCCATTTGCCCATCGTTGGATTAATACGGTACAGTAACAGTACGTAGAGCAGTCAATCATGCGGCACTATGTCATAGGTCTTCTTATAGCCAAAATTCAATGTTTATTCAAGAATACCCTTATATATCACACACACTGATTATACTGTAATGTCTTATTTTAAAATTTTCCCCATGGGTTAGGCAGCCAGGATGTTGCTTTCAGGAAGTTGCCTTTATAGTTATTTCATGTGTAGGGTTAAGATTCCTTTCGTAATTGTTCCTATCCACCCCTGTTTCTTGAACTGAAATTGGTGGTATATGTCTATTCAAACGTGAAACATAAATCTGTACATTTCAAATTCATTAATAGCGGCCAGATGTCCTGGGAATATAATTTCAGTTGAATTCCTTTGATGCGCTCATATACGTTGCAATAAATACGTTCCTTGTTTTTGTTCCAGTGAATGTCGCAAGCCCTTCTCATCTGAGCCGTCCTACATCCAGTCGGCGCCGACAACTGATGTCTGCCAAGCGCTTAGTCTTCATCCCATCACATCGGTGATCAACCGCCGTTCCAGACATTTGTGGAAAACTAACGGTGTTGAGTCCGTTTCTCAAGTGTAATAAACTGTCACGTGTGTCCGACATACAGAAGAACAGTGAATAGGTTAGCTCTCACGGCGTTTTCTGATGTGAGGGACTCGACAGAAGAATATCATCCACAAATTGTACACATAACAAAGTGCTCGCTCACGTGAAATGTTACGAGTTTCTAGTAAAACATGTCATTGTGAAGCGAGAAAAGGAATGAACCACTTAGTGAAAGTGAGCTATCACAGACGTTCCATAGAGACAAATGTTGCGAACGCGTTTATGAACGCGTTTTCAGACTGCCGTTCGCCTTCAAAATGACGTGAATGATGATCTTGACTATGACCACGGGAAGAAACTGGTCAGTGAAAATATTTTTCACCGGATAAGATGAAGGGGGTCATAAACACCAATTATAGTTCTTATACTTTGAAAATAGACGTTTGTAGTTATGGTACCAGATTTAAGAGATGAGACAATTTGATAATTCCCAAAGAGTGCACATAATTAAGAATAGCTCTCAGGTTCAATTAGACACGTCCGAATAATATAAAATATAAAAGTATACGACAACAGAGTACAGTTTGCAGTTGTAGTTTCTGCAGAGCTGCACAGTGAACTTGATACAAAACGGAATAAATATGATAAAGGTTGTATTACGAAATTTGTAACAGTGGTTTTTAAATGAAATTCGTTCACTTTAAACAAGAGGAAGATTTGCATTGTGTAAGCACGTTTATTGTTATTCGAGATAAAATAGTTCATCAATATTATTAAATGATTATCATTTCATTTTCGAATGATGGAGGTGGAGGTACACCTCTACTCTCCGGGAGATATTTTGCAATACGCTTACGGGATTGCTGGTTGGGTTACTGGCTGTTAACGTGCCAGAGAACACAAAATAATCAAACGAGATCCCAGTTTTACCCGTCCATGTTTGCGCGTCTCGTGTTCAACAGCAACCCGACGTCACTTACAGAGTCTTTTTTGCCCGACCGGTTACCCCATCTCGTGCTCTGAGCTCAGTGGCTGACTACCTCGCCCTCCCCCTCAAACCCTTCCATCTGTTGCTCATCTTTAAAAAATATATATTTTGTATGTACTGACAAATACAGTAAAAATTGTGGGTGCGAGGGGGAGGGGTTGGAGGATATAAACTGCGCACATTTTTTTAGCTTCCAGATCTTTACTCTATTTTACTGAAGATAGTTGAATTTCGAATAAAGATAGCAATAAGCATTTAATAAATTAATTTCAAAAATATTGTTTTGTGCGGTCTGAGCGAGCTCAGCCTATCCTGTAGGTGATCGGACCCGGAATAGGGTTACGTGCATAGATATTCCGTAACCGGGCATTTAGGAACTTCTGTCTCAAAGGCAATCAGAACCTAATAATCTTGTTTGTTGTAGTATCAATTTCCGATATTTGTTTGCTCGGAGGGGCAGAACGAAACGGGCAACATTGCCACGTACGCGGACATGTATGAAACCCTTGGAGAAAAGGAAAGCGTTCCTTCTTCGTTGCTATCATAACCATGGCGTTGGATATATGACACTTCGAAATTATTGAAGATACTCGATAAGGGATAATAGAAGGGGGGATCGTAATAAATGAAATTGTATCACCTAGATGACTGCGCGAATCCTGTTGATTATACCAGTATACAACATGAACGGGAATAGAACACCCCATACATAACATTTATTCCTTCAGGAATACCAAATACCTTTACCTAAATGTCCTCGCACAAAGTAACAGTGTCCAATATAATCAGAGAAAATGAGATTCTTTTCGCTTATTGACACGCTTTGATAAGTTATTCCAAGTTTTACATCCAACCCAGCAGATATTATTAGAGACCAGATGCTAGACAAACTGCTTGGAATTTATTAATAATGTATCACAAAATAATATAATGCAAGTTCAAATCAAGGCATTAGTGATGTTCACAGCAAATCCAATGTTGCTTAAATCTGCATATTTTCGTAAGTTATGCCTCTGCATGCATAGTTACATCAATTGCGGAATTAACTTTCTTTCCTTCAAGGTTTTCTTTTCCTTTTAAAGCATATCAAAGATATTCTTATATTATTAAAAAGGTATTTTGAGATACTTCGTGGTGGTAAATTATTTCACACATGTCTTAAATTTGGGTTATATTTATGTTATTCAGAAAATGTCATAGAATCTATACATTCCAGAAGTAGTTATATATTTCCTTCCTACATTCGAAGCAAGAAACTGGCACATATTTATCCCTCGTTATCTGGCTGAACCTCATTTGATTAGGACAAGAGCTGTTGAACATGTTTGTCGAGCATTTATTCAAAGTTGTGTTGCGTGCTTCATGCGTGAAATTGAACAATGATGATTTTCCATATTTTAAAAGTGCAAGAAGCCGGGTTTACACCCACAAACTCACATTTCGGAAGTTCGGGTGCTGGTTCTCAAATCATTGAGTTGGCAGACTTTTCGCAGTGGCGGATCGAGATTTGAAGGTATGGAGATACCCCCAAATCCAATTGTTTTGTGTACTTTACACAATTGATTCAAAACAATTACCACATTTTTCACATCAGATTGCAAAATTCCATTACGAATATACATTTTTTTTATTTCAAACCAACCAGTTTTTAATTTTTTTAATTAAAAAAATATTAGAGTGGTAAGAATTTAAACTTTCCATTTATCCCTGAAATATTTTCTGGATCTTTCTTTGAATTTCAAAGAAACGAAGTAATTTTTAATGATTAATTACCAAGAAACGAATACCAATAATATTATATACGATTTCACCTTAAATATTTTCAATTAATTTGGTACTTTCCATTGTATGAAGATAGAATTCTGTTATGTGACAACATCATATGTAAATTTGGACACAATCGAAAAATTATCAAGTAGGAAAATAATTCTTCATTAGTTATGCTACGCAAACGCTTTGTGACTACTCAAAAATACTTGAATTATAAGACTTTATTGAATTAATGCTATTCAATGATAACATATTACCCGCGTGCATGAAGGTTGTTTTTCTATTACAATTAGGAATAATTCTGTAAATGAACAATAAAACAAAAATCAAACATTCCCTGACTACAAGCTTTTAATTGCAAACATCTTCAACAATACGGATACGTGTCAAAATTACATGCAATTTGGTTACTACCAGATAAATAAAATACAAATATTTTTAGTGGAATAGTATCACTAAACCAAAAACAAATTCATAATATAAACATGAAATGTAATATTGTTCACAAAACCCATTCAGTACTGAGAAACTGAAAACAATTGCAGACGTTTGTATAAATGTAACCGATGATTCAATTACTTAGGTATGAAATCTCCAACGAATTTCATTATATAATTAGCATTATATTTATATTTGTTGTTTTGTGTTTGTTGTTTGCTGTGTTTGTAATTGTTCTGTTTCAATTGAATGTACACAGTGCAGAAATGTTATCACAATTGAAGAATATGTACTTGTAATTATTTATTTATATTATTTAATTTATTTATTTATTTGCTAAATAAAAGTTGTTTAAAATATGCATGAGAAGTTATTTAGAAGAAAATGACACGACATAATATCAGCTGATGAAACAGTCCTTGTTATTTTTTTTAGTCATTTAAGGCCGCATCAACATGTAGGTCATTAGTGACCACTACTGGATTTAACGTTATGGTAATTGTGAAGATGATATGATATGGTGGTGATAGTGGGCGAAAGAACGAACACAAATATAGCCATTCCCGAGGCGGTCATGAAAACTCGATCCTTCAGTCCGAGATCGCTAGAGCACTACTGCCTTAATGATTTCGACCGCCGGATCAGCCAGCAGATTGTTCACAGTTCTTTTTATCATCATTATCTAAATGGTTTAGAGTTTGGTTTTCCCCTCCTTCTAGAATTGTTCATATACTTTCTCGACGGTTTCCCACGTCCCCCGAACGTTTATAGTTTTCATATTAATTATTCTTTATTTTTACATTTGTTAATATTACATTACTGCAACTAGTTGAAGTATCCTGCGTTGATCGGGTTAATCATTAATCATTAGACAATGAAAGCAATTTTTTTTGTAGTATCCCCGCTTTCCCCGAGTTCGACTGCCCTCATCCACGCCGCCCTGCCGCGTCTCGTACCTTCCCCGTCCCGTCCGATCTCACTCATCCCCAGCTCATTTGCCCAGCCCCACCCTCTCAACACTTCCCCCACACCACCACCCATCGCCTGCCTCGTCCAGCCCCGCCCTGCCATCTGGCTGCGAACACAGTCCCTCCCACCATCGTCGCGATGGAAACTGAACAGATGTATTGTTGCGTACTCTAATTACCCATATTGGCCCCTTTTTTAGTTGGATTATACAAAACAATAAAATGTTCACATTTTCGAGAAATTCATTAAATTCTTCCAACAAACACAAACAATACACTAAAGTCTTTTTAAAAAAACGTTTCTGTCTTTGTTACATACTCCCGCCAAACTTCTACTGACAAACTTCCATTCGACCATCAATTAGTCAAAGGTTAATTAGTGGATCGGAATGAATCAAAATATTATAAATTAATAGAACAAAATATTAAAGAATTCAAAAAACATTTATTCGATTTATTTTGACTTTTTTTTAACAAACAGTGAACATTGTAAGTAACGTATGGAGAGAAGTACAAAATGGGACTGTTTTCTTGAACTCTGGAATCCCTCCCCACCTCTGAATCCTAAATATATGAATGATGAATAAAAATACCAACAAGTATGGTTATTAACATTTGAAAATAGTCACTTTCTCTCCCAAGTCACAGATACCTGTTTGCATTAGCAATTTCTTGTGTTTGGTGAATGGACTTCGATTTTAACACGTGAATTCACTTATTTTACTTTGGTTAATTTCCTCATTGTTATCAAGGTATTTGCGTTCACGGAAATAAAGCACACATAAAAATTTAATCTAAGAGGTAAGAAAGGGGGAAAATGTATGAAATCTCATGCAGGTAGTAACTTGTCTCTTGTTTCGAAGGTCACGTGTACAAAATTTCATTAAGATCGGAATAAAACGGTTGTTTTGAACGAAAAAATAATTATTCTATGTATAAGATAACATATAATTAAAAAATAGCTTATGCCCGACAAAAAGCACTACCTTTCAGAGAAAACCGCGTCTATCTATCTATTCAGCCTTTATAGAGATTACTTTTGACAAGCACACTGACAAAAATTGTACAAATTACAATTAGTTTTTATATAATTTGCATAAACATATGAGATTTCGAAAAGGCAGTTATTTTGAAATCACAAATAGAAATTCAATTTTTATTTATATACGACGCAAAGAAAAGATTATGTCGATAATGATTAATTTACACTTGAGATCTTTAGTTAATTTCTATTATATTCACTTTTCTTCGACTGGATGAGATTCTACTCAGAAATAGTTCCAGGATATTGTATTTCTACTTCAGCTATCTTAGGAGTTTGATTCTTGGCAAGCGTTCAAAGTTTGGATCCTTGTTGAAAGCATTGTTTTATAGTTATTTATACATTGCCAAAAAAGTAAAAAACTTTTGATGTATGAGGGATAAGAATATAATTTAATAATTCGCCTTTTGTGTGTGTGTGTGAGATTGTACCACAGAAATATCTGTGTCTCCTGAATTGCCAGTTTACAGCAAACGTTTCTAAAATCAGAAAGTCCTAGGTTCGATTACTGAAGAAGGTAAGGTTTTCGACTCCAATTATATTGAACCCAATAGTTGCCTACTTGAGAATTTAGCGGCCATCTGTTATTATCGATTGTTTTTGTGATTTTCTCTGATCAATTCCAAGGGAATGCCGTATCAGCACCCTAAGAACAGATCACGCGATCCTTCTTTCTCCTTCCAGTCAGTACCATTCTTAGTTCTTGAGAGATGGCCACATGCTCATCATCATGCGATTCTTCCCCCTTAATCGAGAAAATCTGCGACAAACAAAGAAAATACGGAATAAATCGACCAGCCGCGAGTACCTGACTAAGGATTATCTGCAGTATGGCGATTATCTACAAACTTGGCATATGCAAACATGTCACATGCCATGGGGGCCAGGGGCGCTATTTAGAGTATACCCGCTGAAAAATAACAACTATATTTTGACGTATTCTGACAGACACGCAAATTGTATGCTTTCCATGTGCCTAGATACGTTTCTGAGCTCCGAGATACAGAGTCTCGTAATAAGTCACCGTAAAATTTGGAGTAATAGTATAAAAGTGTTTTGTTGTAATACTAGTAGTGCTGCAACATTTCATACTTTCGCGAATTATTTGCAATATTATTACGTAATATTGTAATCCTATTTGAACCCACAACAGATATTGCTCTTAGAGTCTGCACAATTTTTGCCCCCGTTGGAAATCTACTTCACGTACTTAGGTTTAGCCAGTTATGCCAGTACTTAGGTTTAGTCAGCACATCGACAAAGTGAAATACCTCATGCCAAACAACCACTGGATCTAATTTGAAAGGACAGATTTCGTTAAGAAAACTGAAGTATGACAATGTTGTGGTAAAACAATGACGTCCAAAAAAATAATGTTTACAGTTTTGGAAAATTCAGAAAGATAATTAAAAACTGACCCTGTGCAATATTTATGAGTACTTTTCTCAATCCAAGAAAAAATAATGGGAAAAATTGTAGCATAGAAACAAAAATTGAAAATGCCACGATTCCATGGACGAAGGCTGATTCAACCGATGCTCTGCACCGACACCTCCAAAGTCACGTGCCTCGAAAAAGAAGAAACACCCAGAAAAGATAGTGTCCTGTTCAACAATATATTGAAGGAATCTCGTGGTGAAGAAATGAAACAAATTTCTTGTCAACATAATATTCAGCTAAAATTATACCTTGCTATTGCTGCAATTAAAAGCGGGAATAGTAGTTGACGTAACGAGGGCGCGAAACAGGTGATTCATGCACGAGTCGAGTTTGTCGTCCGAGAGTAGTGCGGGAATCACCTCGCGCCCGTGTTGCGTATATCATTTTTTATCACGCCGTGACCGAAACGCAATGCGTGAAGTAAAGGAATAAAAATGTATATCAAAGAACTACAAATACTTTACTTCTACAAAAGTAAATGGATTTCAGTCAGTGGCGTAACACTACTGTTTGTAAATAATAAACAAAGACGTCGTAAAGACGAAAGACAATGGCGAATCGTTAAAGATGTTTCGCACATGTTTTCCTATGTTTCGCTCACGTCCCCCGATGTTTCAGACACTGTGAAAAAATTAGCTTTTTCGCACACGGAGAACAAGCATAAAGAACCGCGTTTCGAACACGGCCTTTTCAAAAATTATTTATAGAAACAACAGTAACAGCAATAGCAAAGAATGTGTCTTGGTCTCTTTTCCGCGGCGTTGATGCGATGGAGAGACCATTTGGGATGAATACCAGAATTCGAAAGATTAGAACGCGAAAGGATCTAGGTATTGTAATGGCTTAAAGGCCTTCAGCCTAGCCACATAGGACCAAGTAAGCTAATTTGTTTGTAATAATTACCTATTAAATAAATAAATAAATAAATAAATAAATAATGTACTGGAGGGTCCATGGTTGAGCGATGGGGTATTCACAGCATGTCCACCGCTTCATTTATCTAATTTACGCCCATCGCAATTATCTGTGCTACTCGTTGGACACCTGCCGCGTGGCAGAGATCGCAGTAACACTAGTAGTGCTAATACTAGTGGTGCAAAAACAGCGCGTACTTTATCGCACGTACTTTCAAGCAAAACGTCGCGAAAAGTACTAAAGTTTTCGAAATATTGCACGTGACCTTATTTCAAAATCTATTTATAACGAACAGATTTCATTAAGGGAAAAAATCTTTATCTTTGTAATTGTAGTTGTAAAAAAATATTTTGCATTTTTCGAGAAATGAGGGTTTTTAACGAACAAGAGACCTACACTATTCTCTTAACCATTCTTTCCATGATCCAACAAAAAATATTTAATCAAAAAGGACGGTGCTATTTTTTTTTATTTGAAAACTTTTCCCAGGGGCTTTATGTAAAGAACCCTTAAAAATTAAAATATCGATTTCAAATTCAAGGAGCCGCAACGTCAGATAAATTGATTGGGAAATATTAATTTTAGAGAAAACCGGCCGAACGGTTTAGCCGCTAGCGTTGTTCACAATCGGATAGACAGACAGGCCGAACGGGCGGATATGCTACCATTTCATTTTTCGGTACTCGCACAACATCGATTCTACACCACGTGTTGGAGATTTTTTCTAAATTTACTATTGGAGTTTTCCACTTTAGCATTACCAGGGCCCTGTAATAGATTTTCTACCAAAAAGTCGCTGTTGCTCGTGCAGCAATACATAACTTTCCACTCTGAAGCGAGGAGGTAAAAATGAATTCAAATAATTTTTGTTTGTAAACCGTGAGATGTACATTGGCGTCGGTTGTTAGTGCTTCACAAAATATATTCAAGCTGAGATGCCTGTTTTACTTCATGTAGTTCACAGACGGAAATCGGAATTGTTTCCGAAGCCGAA